TTGCGCCAGGCCTTCCTGTCCTTCACTGCCTCCCTGAGTTTGCTCAGTTTCATGCTCAGTTGTATGTGTGTAGCAAGGTTTATACGAACCCAGGGATCAACAAAATTGGTGGTTTAGATTTGGTAGTCCCTAACGTGCTAAAAATCTAACAAATCAGATCAACCATTCCATCTTCTCAGATGGATTTCTTTCCTTCTTCTTCTTTTTTTTTTTTCTGTTTGAGTTGGTCACTGAACAGGAATAAGCACATGTTGTTTTATATCCAACGTCACTATAATGCACGCATAGACTTTTCAGAGAAAGGATTCTGCAACCACCTATCTTTGCAGAAATGGCATTCTCTCCCCCTCCCCCCATTAAAGCGAAGTCTATACAAGCAAAGTTGCGTGCCTCTTCTTAGGGCTGGATGGACCATAATGTGAATTTAGATTTCTTTTTTCTGTGTGTGGGCAAGTTACCCTGCCTTACAATGGAGTACGAATTGCCAGATTTTCTGAGGGCCAAAAGACTCGCATTTCCAGAACTCCATCACTGCAAATGGTCAGTTGCCTACAGTACCCTTGAACCCCCAGATTCTAGAGGTCTCCAGCTGGAGATTGGCTTTGGCGCTCCTGCTTTAGAATGTGCCAGTCAAATTGCACTGGGGTTGGGGGGGGGGGAAGGTTTTGCGTGCACGGAGTGTGCATCTGTGTGTCTGTGCCACATCTGGCCTTGAGAACAATGGAGGAAAACAGGCAAAATTCTGCAGCTGTCTGTGGCAACAGGAAACCAAATGCTGAAAGACAACAGAGCCAGGATTGAATCATGATCTGGAGCAGAGATGGTGATTCAGTGCTGTGCTTAGAGGCAGCAAAGAATATGGTTCCAATGATTTGCTTAAGAGGCTGGTGAATCCTGATAGGTGAGAAACGCCCAGTTCTGCCTGACTATTTCCCTGCGTGATTCCTTTAGCTCTCCCTCCAAGGAAGGATCAATGAACCTTTCATCTACAGCCTCATCTTTCTAGCCCTCCTAGGAATCAGGGAGCCCAACCCGTGATGGACTTCTGTTCTGCTGTTAATTCAACTGCTAATTCTTGCAGGGGTTGGGGGGTGAAACAATTGGAAAAGTGTTAACCCTAGGATATGACTTCATTTCAGGAGTGACTTACAGAACAAGACCCACCAGACTTTAGTGAGTTTCTAGAAGCCATCAGCCCACCCCACCGTGTTAGACCAAGCTAAGGAAATAGGTGGGGACAAAGAAAAAATTAACACAGTGAATTACATCCTAGGTTAAGTCATTTCCTCCTTCCCAAACATTTTACATTATTATTTGGTGGAGTTGCAACTCAACTTCCAAGATCAGAGCCCCGATCTGATTTCTCCTGTCCTCTTTGGTTTACTTCCAAAGGAATCAAGAATCCGCAAATGCCAGTTGCCCTTCATTTTCATTTGATGCACCCCACATAAGTAGGCGACAGATAAAACTGGGCTACAAACTCTGAACGGCCAAGCTGAGCTTAGCAAGGAAACATCTTTCCTTGGGTGGCCTTGGGGGAAAAAAATGTGGATCCTCTAAGTGACCAATCAAGCTCCAGCTAAGGAGCCATCTCCAGCTCATTGGCTGGGATTTGGAACCAATGACCCTTTTCTAATGTTTTTGTCCTTCTCCAGGTGGAAGAGATCTACCCACAAAAGGAGGATTGGGGTCATGGATTTCCTGATTACCTGGGCATCAATCTTTAAATTAAAAGAGTTGGGTGGGACAGCAAGAAGCTGATGACAATTTCTGGAGAGATGCTTCTTATGTGAAACCAAATCCTTCCCAATTTTGTGGTAGAATCCTCAGCTAGAATGTCTGCACAAAATTGGGCTTGTCTAGCAAGAAATGCATACCGAAATCATATTTTAGGGGAAATGCATACATTTTAATACACATCTTACAAATTAAAGGAAAATGGGCAAAACAGAACAGATCTGAAACTCATCTTGGACCAGGAGTAGACAAACCTGACTTGATCCACCCATTAAAAAGTCAACATGTTGCTAGAAAGACAGGAATTAACTTCTCTTTCCTAAAAGATCCATCTAATATTTGCCAAATGCCTTTTCAGAAAGTATGTGTATTCAATTACTCTTCATAAGATCCCTTAGAAAGCTAAATTAGAGCACACCCCAAACCATATTTACTCACAAGTGAAGTCCATTGGCCTTCAAAAGATCTTACTGGTAGACAATCGATGCAGGACTTCAGGCTGTTGATAATCCTGGGCCAGATGGCTGCAGAGTAAGGCCCATTGACCATGGAGGGATTTACTTTGGAGATGGCAGGCTGAAGATCCTATGGACTGAGGTCTTTGAATCACAGTTTTAGAACTTTTTGTGATTGTGGAAGAAGAAAGTCATTCCCCGTTGCTCCCCTGCATGGGATTATTTTGTTACGATCATTTTCTCTTGATCGTCGAACAAAATGAATGCCTATGGTGAATGAATGGGTGAAGCATCTTTTTCATTTGTCAGACAGTAGAAGCCCAGTGGCAGAGTTCTGCTTCTGAAGGTGATGTAAATATCTCTTTTGCGTTTGAACCGTGCGATGTTTCTTCTTCTTTTTCACTGTGAAATATATTTTGGAGTTTGAGGATCTATGTTATTAAAAAACAAAGTGTAATTATAACAATGATGGTAAGAATAAAACATTTGTTGTGACACAGTCTTTGGGTGATTTTTTTTTTCAAATGATTCTTAAAGCACATTTGAGAGAAGAGGTTCTTTTGAGCATCTTGACTGTATTTATAACCCACTTCGTCCAAAAAGTGGGATACTCCTTACTTACACAAAACAGCCCTGACCAGCCACCTTCACGTGACTTTGCAGACTGAAAATAGTTACTTGACAAGTGTGGTTCCTTAAAAAAAAAAAAGGTTATCTTATCCTGCTTAATGTGATGATGATACCAAAAAATTATCGCTCTTCCCTAATCTGATATCCTCCAGATGTGTGGGCCACACTACTCAACCAAGCACAATTGCTGAGAATTCTGGGATGGCTTTTCTAAGGTGCTCTATAAGTTGTGGTGAAGACAAAACCATCGAGTCAAACAGAAATTGTGCTATCTCCATGGAAACAATCAATTTTTATTTTTATTTTTTTCAATTTACAGTCTGGTTTACAATCCTGGGACTTCCTAGTGGTCTCTCATCCCATGACTAACCATGTTTGATCTTGCTTGGCTTCTGATCTGAGACAAATGCTAATAGTTGCCCCATCTAGTTTCTACCACCAGCCAAGATCCAGATATCCAGAACTTGAATTCTAACCCTTTAAGCTGACTAAATTCAACCAGTGCAGCTTGTTCTGATGTGAGAACCTGCTCAGATCAATGTGGCCAACCTGACCACATGACCTCTATTATAGTCATCTGAGCCAATCAGAAGCCAGCTCTAGGTCAGCTGACCTAGACTTGGCTTCACTGCTAGAAGACTTCTAGTTCTCCTGTTTTTGTAGATAGGCTGATAGGTTGTCATGGCACTGGAACAAGATCACCAATAGCTTCCCAGGAACCCCCGTGGTCAGATGGCACCAGGGTTGTCCATAGGGCATGGTCAAAAGAGTCAAGATGGCAGCCATGATGGTGTGATCCAAGCTCACCTGTTTTATACAACACTCATCAAAACAGGTAGAACTTTAATTATACTATCATAGGAGCCATCTTGATCTTTTTTTTTTAACCACAACATGTGGACACCCCTGGATGGCACTGAACCATTTCAAACAGAAGAGAGGTCATTGCAGTTGCTTCTTTGGGGACTGATTCTGTCCAGCAGAGATAATTGTGTGACATAATTAGTTGGGCTGTTATCTTGGGAGAAACTTGGGTGCTTCTGAGCAAAGCTGAGGTAATGTTGGTAGTACCACTTGTGGAGCTGTTTCTTGAACTCAGCCTGGACCTAAGAAGAAGAAAGCAAAGTGAGGAAAGAAGCAGAGGAGGAGGAGGAGGAAAGCCCTGATTCTGCAGCTTCATGCATGGCATGAAAAACAAATTAGAACCATCTCATTCATTGGTTCTCCTCCCCATTCCTTTCTTAGAAGGAAGAAGGAAGCTTTTGGTGTCTTCTCTGGGCACTGTGGTTGCCATGGGAGGGAGGAAGGAAGGGGAAGGGGAAGAGGAAGGGGAAGGGAGAGAAGGATGTTGTGAAAGAAGGCATGACCTCAGCAGATCACATGCAAATGGGCAGTGAGGATCTGACTTAGAAAACTGGTGGCTTCTGTGACCAGACCAATAGCAAGCCATGCAAAAGAGAAAGGAATGCCCTGCTTTTCTGAAGCAGATAAAGGTCTCCAGTCTCTCCAAGATGGAACCCCAGTAGATACCCTTACCTTGCAGAGGCTGGAAAGCTCCTCGTGTCCACCTACCTCTCCATTTAAGAAACAGTAGAGGAGGGCGACCATAAAACCCTTGGAAAAGAAGGAGATCATGAGAGAGAGGGGCAGACATGCACAAGCATTCATGCACCCCTCCAAATACACGTCAGATACCATCACCAGAAATTGGAATCTATTGGCAGGGGCCTTCCAGGGCCATCTAGTTCTCCCTTCATCAACATCTCTTGAGCCTCTAACTGAAAACCACCAATGGTTGCTAATCTTTATAAGCAAGTCTGGGAGTGTTTTTGTTAGTAAAGCAAAGTATAAAATGCTTTAAATAACAGTTGCTATAATTATTACACTAAATGCTGGCTGGAGAATTCTGGGAGTTGAAGTCCACACATCTTAAAGCTTCCAAGGCTGAGAAGCACTGCACTAGATGATGAAGATGACAATCATTCCAGAAGACAAGATATCTGCTGTCCCAACCCTTTTATCAGAATTGTACTATTTCTTTGGGACAGGATTCACACTTGGTCACGTTGCCCAGGGCTATCTGTACAGGGTGGTGAAAAAGTCAAAAAGGTGGCCAAACCTGCATGTGCACATAAAAAAAGAGCCATCATAGCCACCATCTTGATGTTTTTGACCCTCCCCTGCCGATGCCCTGGATGCACCCAAATATGCAGGAATTGAGCCACAATCAAAAACCATGTCTATAAATTCTGTTAGAATTAAATCCAATGAATTAAATGAAGTTGCATGCTACATTTTTATAACTTTCCACCTTTGGTGGCAACTTCTGGAGGACTTCAAGAAAGGTCATCTCTCCCTCACCTGGAAAGAGCCCAAGCCCAGCTCGACATACAATCTAGCGATTGTCCCAATGCTTTCTGGGAAAAAGGCAAAGACACTGTAGTGAACTCCAAAGAGTGGAATGAGGAGTAAGGTAGATTTCGCCAGTCTCCTGGAAGAAAGAAATGGTTGATGGCAACTCTGCTCAGAGCCTGGGACAGCCAGACGTGTCAGAAGGCCAGCTGGCTTCCATCAGTTAGGATTTTTGCACACCCCTGGAAGCAGCTGTGAAGCAAAGGAGTCATCACAGACCCATGGAACAGTGCATCCATGCAGCTGAAGAAGGGGTCAAGAGCCCCCGTATTGTTAACTAATCAAGAGTAAGGATAGGTTCTCCTCCTCCTCCATGCCCAAAGTTCCTTCAAATAGAAGTCCAATTAAAATCATCATTTGCCACAGTGACATTGTTGCCAGTCTCTTCCCATTCTTCTTCCCCAAGGTAACCTCCCTTTCATTACCCTAGAGAGGAACAAAGAGGGGAAAAGGAAAAGGAAACAGCAGCTGGATCAGATATCCAAGGAAACTGGCGTTTCACCTAGTCCAATATCACTCTCGCTGACTAGCAACAGCTCTCCAGAATTTTATATGGCAAGGTGTTTGCTTTTCTCCCAATCCCTATATATATAGGTGAAGGAAGTAGTGAATCAGAGATTTCATGCTAGCAACACAGATTTCCCACAGAATGATCATCCGACAAGCTCTTTGGCAGTTGCCTAAAGTAGCAAAAGATTATTTTCCAAGCAAGAATCTCACCAAGTTCTCTTCCCAGGATCTACTGAGATGAAAGCGATGGAGTTACAAGAATTCCAACAACTGAACTGTTCCAATTAGATAGCCACATGTGCATTTGGACATAGACTTTCTCTTTTCTAATAGCCTTCTTATGACCCAGCAAGGAGACAGGCCTCTTTGCTTGTCATAGAGAAGCTTGACAAGCACCTCCAGAGCTTCTGTCAGTTTGGAAAGTGTTACACGGTCCCTTCTTTCTACTCCCATTTTGCTAAAACAATATGAAGAAGAGTAATTCATGTTGCAAGCAACTCACTTTAAATTCTCCTCCTTCAGCAACCTCACCCCTCAATAATTGCCCTTTGGATAGGATCCTCAAGCTTCACCATCACCAACACTGGTGGTGAAGACCTTTGGAATCCAGATCTTGGCCACCTTCCCCCTGTGCTGCTACTTAATAGCACAAAGCAAAGGGTTCCTGTTTGCCCAGCAATTTTTTTCACACTGTACAAAGACACAGACATGTGAACAACACTGAACAATTGGAAGCCAATAGCTCCTGCTTGTTAGGATGAGAAATTGGGTCACTTACACAAATTGCCTTGAATGCCTTCCACTAGTCTCTGAAGAGGTTAATTTTTGCACCAAAATTCGGATCACATTGAGAAAGATAACAGAATTCATCTGGAGACCCAAGACAGAATTTTAGCAGTCAGTCAGCATGTCTACCCCAAATACACTGAATGTAGCTCTGCATCACCATATTTTTAAAAAAGTAAGCACTTCTTGTGTAAAATGGGAAAAACTTCAATAATATACTTCAGTGTAGTTGCTGGGAAATTCTACATGCATTCATCTCTGCTTGGTTTTCTGCAGGACAGTGCCCTTGGTCAAAAAGTCTGTCTCTCTTCTACCTACCAATCAATCAGGCCAACCATTTGTCGTTTCTGCTTTCTGAAAACTAAGTTTTCCCAAACAATCAGAGATCCTTGTGGCTTTTCAACCATATCAAAAGGAACTAGGGAGATTCTAGAACCTTGTTAAACAAAAGCTTACTTAGCATCTATTGTTGGGTTTTAGATGTTTCTTATAATGGTATGTGAGAATGACCTTGGGAGACTCAGCCCAGAGACGCTGCCTAGAGAACAGTCAGATAAGAGGCAGCATAGCCTGCAGCTGGATAGCGGGTGGGGCAAGAGGGTCAGAAGGGACCCTCCCTAGTTTTTCAAGTGTAAAGGAGATGGGGGGGAGAATTTTACTGTCAGACTCGCAAGATTCTGCTAATGTAGCCTTACAATAAAGTAGAATTAGTTCATCTGGTCATGTTTCCTGTCTGATCTACCTGATAAGGCTGACATTTCTGCCCTGATTTCAACTGCACATCAGTAGTATTTTAATATCTGCCTGTCTTGGTTGATTATTCCAGGGACATGGAAGCTCAAATTTATGGACACACCAAATATTCCAAGGAGTTCAAGCATTGTAAGAATGTGTTCCATTCTTCAAATCAACCCAGATCAAAGGAAAACTCACTAAGACTGTGAACAGGATGGGTCCCTTGATGATCCACAGCGTCACCAAGCTCTCTTCGTCATCATCCCAACATCTAAGAAAATGAATGAATGAATGAATAAATAAATAAATAAATAGGAATGCATTTACCTTCATTTCCTCTTCCATCTTTGCTCAGATGACTATAATGCACTTCATTGGTTGATACTGAATTTTTCCAGAATTCAGCTCTTCTAAATATTTCTGGCTCGTCTGACTCAAGAACCCTTACAGGGCAGTCTTCTAAGAGGGCTAAGCTGGAAAAAGTCCAATTCCAAACCCAATTTCACCACTAGCATTGACTGCAGAGGTGAGCAAATCCGTCCTGGCTAAATGTTTATTTTATTTCCTTGTGTTGTGGTATTTAAATCCTTTCTTGCCCATCCATTACCCCGGATCTGGGACCAGGTTACAACCCATCAAAGCAAGATAAAATAATGAAACTGAGTAAAGGAAGTCATTGGCTAAAATAGACCCTGTTGAAACAGTAATAGACAGGGAACATTAGCAGAGATGGCCTTAAGACATAAAAGCAATATTTCAGGATAGATAGCATGAGAATTTCGGGACTATATATATATATATATATATATATTTGTGGGGGGTCGAGTTGTGGGGATAGGGTTTTCTAAAATTCAAAATATGTGTATTAAGCCTACTGCACATTTATAGTACTGGGAGATTCTAGTCCCATTCAAATTATTAGATAACTCTGGGTTGATCACCCTCTCTCAGCCCAGTCTACCTCCTAGGGTTGTTGTGGGGATAAATCAGGAAAAGCCCATGTAAGACATCTTGACCTCAGAGCAAGGCAAGAGAGAAATGTAAGAATAAATCTTATAAAACCAGCCTGAAAAATCACACCGTTGCAGAAACGGGGATATATTGTCAGATTTTAGCAGCTTGATTCTGGGGCCTCCAGGGACCACCCAAATTACCAGAGGCATCCATGGGGGGAGTCAGAACAGTCAACATGGCAGCCACAAGCATGTGATGGAAGCCCTGCCCCTCTGTGATGCATATAAAAAAGGGGGTGGGGCTTCACACAGCCGTGACTGCCATCTTGACCTTTTGGACACTCTTCCCCCATGGATGCCTCCCCTGTTTGCAGTCTACAGATTACTCATACAACTGTCCTCCCTGACCTTAGAAATCCACCACTTTTCAGCCTGTTACAAAACTGTCATCATACACAAACATACACAGACCCACAAATGGGACGGCCTCACAAATCCATCCATTCCCATCAATTCATGACAGAAGGATCTCCCAAACATTGCCCTATAAGGACTGAGAAGACCAAAGCAATTCTGTAAGGACCTCACAAATGATCTCCATGCATGAAAAATCCAAGCTGGCCATCAACGTTTATGTGGGATGGGCAAGGGGGCCAAAGGTTGATGCTTCCCTCATAAAACCATGATACAGACCATGCCCCTTTTGTATACACATCAAGATATCACAGATAAGGACTTAAAGAGTCGAGCTTGTGTTGTGATGTCATGACACACAATTTTGACAACATCCTGGCTCTCTCCAAGTTCCTCTGAACTAGCAGCTCCATCGTTTTCCAAATGCAAGAGATTAGATCAGTGTTGTCCAAACTTGGCCACTTTCAGATGAGTGGACCTCAACTCTCAGAATTCCCCAGCCGCCCATGGCGGCCGGGGGAATTTGAGAGTTGAGGGTCACCCCTCTGAAAGGGGCCCAGATTGGACCACAATGCACTT